GGGGGGGGAGGAACAGAGGATTGACGAGGCACTCCACCTACCGAGATTGCTGAGCACGTTCCCGTTCCTTGCGTTTCAAACTCATAGCCATCATCCGCCACGTCAGGTTCTCCATGCGCTCTTGGTTGGGTAACTGAGCTTTAGTCCTGGAATACAACTTCCATATCTGGGTGGCTAATGGATCCTTTCGTTGCATCTCATCCGGACCATCAAATCCGGGGCGAGGCGTACCGACCTTCCATTCCGGAAACAGAGAGTCGTTAAGCAGACTGTCGGGGGCATTCGAGGAATCAGCAGGGCTGATTGGGGAGCCAAAGGAGAAATCGTCAGAGAGTTGAGAGGAAGTCGGAGGGAAGTGGAGGGGGTTGTGGGAGGTGGTGGTGGTGGAGGAGCGGCGGTCGGCGTCGGCGGAATCCTGGAGAGAAGTAAAGGCCGCGGGTTGCGTCGGTCGCACACCACCACCACTGCCTCCACCCCCCAGGGTCAACCCGGACATGGTTGTCTGATTGGAGGAAGCCCTCAAGGGGGCACACGAAATAAAGGCGAAGAAAAGTAAAAGGTAAGGTAGTAAGTAACAGAGAGAGTAGCGAGTCACCCCCCAAAAGAGAAATAAATTAAATGAGGAAAAAAAAGAAAGGAAAATCGATGGAAGAAAAAAAGGAAAAAGATAAGGGAGGTGCAGGAGGAGAGATAGGGATGGAGGGGAGGGGAAAGACTGGGGAAAAGGCGAGAGGACGGCGAACGACCAGAGAGAGTCGACGGCGAAAGATAAGCGGCGAGGGAGGGAAAGAAGAGGAGGCCGGATTAAAGGGCGGAAAAGGAAGAGCGAAGGAAAGCGAATTGAGGCACGCCGCGCTCAATTGGCCGGTGGTCGCAGCACGAGGAATTCCAGGCTACCCGCCGTAAACGACCAGATTCAGCCAGACCCTGGACAATAATAATCAATCGGATATCTCCAAATTGGATGTATAGGTGGTCTCCGCTGTCTGTGTCTGTGTCTTGTTCTGTTTGTCTCGGAGGATCGCGGCGAGACAAGACTGGACTGTGTGGGAGGGGTTCGATCGTTTTTCCCCCAAAAGGATGGGGAAGGGAAGTCGAAAAAAAGAAAATAAATAAATCAAAAAGAAAACCAGAACTAAAAAAAAAGCGATCAAAAAAGAAGAATCGAAAAAGAAGTAAGTTGGCGCAAAGTAGTAATGGTGGTTGTCGAAAGTCAAAACGAGGTGCAGTAGTAGCAAAGTAGTAGCAGCAGCAGCAGCAGGACAACGGGAGCTAGGATCGGGAGCAGGTCAGTGGTGAGATCGACTAGTAGTCGCAAGTAGTAGCAAGTAGCAACGGCAGGAAATAGTAATAACAATAATAACAATAATAATAATCATAAATAATCATCATCATATTATCTTTTTCTTTTTCTTTTTCCTTTTTCTTGTCGTCCCTTCCCCTCCCTCCTCTCCAGATGCAAGTGGCTTGCATGGACTGCATTCCCCCCGGCTTTTCTTCTTCCTTTTCCCTTCTTTTCTTTTTCTTTTCCCCTTCCGTCTCTGCGGCGGGATCCGTCCGACAGGAAAAAAAAAAAAAAAAAAAAAAAAAAAAAAAAAAAAAAAAAAAAAAAAAAAAAAAAAAGACAAGAAGGTATATGTGTGTGGATGTTGTTCAGGGTGTGCGTACCTTTACAAAATCCCTAGCCTTGCAGCTAATCCGTCCACGAGCAATCTCGCGGCGGGTAATTCTTTTTCTTCTTGATGTATGATTCCTTTTTGTAATTTTATATTCCTTTGTCGATCTCTTATTTTTATTCGTTTCCCCCTCTTATGGAAACCCAATGGATCAGATGGGGTTTTTCTTCCTCCTAGATGTGACGTAGAAGGGGGGGGAAAGCAGTGAAGAGTGAGGAGGCGAATCCGAAGGAATGGGTGAGCGAGGATGTGAGGATGCAGGATGATGATGCTGATGGCTTGACCGGCGAGGGGGGGCTAGACCCTCCCGATGCACATGACGCGCTGGTAGGCTGACTTGAGAGAAGAAAAAGGCAATGTTAAAATGCAATCAATAACGGTAAATCAAAAAAAGAAAAGGTATAAAAAATGATGATAGATAGAATTGGAACAAGATTCCAGCCGGGAGGGAGATAAGAAAACAGACTGGGGAGGGGGCCCGGAGAAGTAATAAGAGGAGAGGGGAAATAATAAGATGAGAAGGCGAGAGCGCGAGAGAGAGAGGAAGAGGAAGAGGAAGAGGAAGAGTAAGAGAGAGAGAGAGCGCAGCAACAGCCGTGGAGATGAATAATAATGCGATACCTTCTAGTAGTAGATGACGGAGCCGGAGAGTGGAAAGTGGACACCGGAAGTGGAGAGAAGGGCTGCAAGTCTAATCCAGTCAAGGTCGGGCCTTAATTATTACAAGAACAAGAGACAGTCAGTTAGTTAGTTGTCAGTCAAAAAGAAAAAACGAACCAGGAACAAGAACAGAAGAACTTTTGCCCCTCTCTTGTTTTTTGTTTCCCTTTTTTTTCTTTTCTTTTCTTTTCCTGTGAAGGAAGAAGTGGGGAATTGATTTGGGAAAAAGGGTATCACTGACTCACTTCACTCAGTTTTAACAACTCTTTTGCTGCTGCTGCTTCTTCTTTGATTTTCTTGAAGCAACCAACCTTTCATTCACAAGCCAGATGCCCGGTGGATGCTGTTGCCTCCATCCACGGGTGGGTTGGAGTTTCAGTGACCCAAGAACCAGTCACAATGCGCGAGGAACGTCCCTGCGCATCCACGCTGATTTGCCCGCCGGGATTCTGCCGGAATTTTTAGCTTCCCGCCGTAAGTAGCAGAACTGCGAAGTTTGGAACTGAATGAATGATAAATGGAAATTCAAGATTCACTGCAGCAGCAACAATTTATTCACGTCAATTCACTGTCCTGGCAGCAGGAAAACAACAAGCCTGGAGTAACAATGGTATACACGATATATTATATACAATCCCCCCATTATAACCTCCAACCACCTCCAACTCATTGCCCCTCCTTTTTCCCCTGCTGCTTGTTGGGAATACGTTGTTTCTCTCCTACTATAGTACTAAGTAAGTATCCTTACTAGCTGCGTCTCTGCAGCTTGGTTCCATACCCATGTAATACCGTGACGGTCGGCCTGGCCAGTGGCGCGGGTCGGGATGGGTTTTTGGCGTTTCTCGAAGCACTAAAGCTGCAGTAGCGCCGTCCGCTTAGATTAACCCATCCATGCTTCTCTTCTCGCATAGTACTAGTCTCCTCTCGAGACTTACTTGCTCTCTCCTCCCTGATCATCCGTCTCGGAAACGATGGTGTGTTTGTTGGTCTAGTATAGTATGTCTGGCTGTCAGTCAGTCTACCTGACACGCACGACGAGTCGAGATCATCACGTCACAGTCAACTGAACTAACTCTGTAGCTTGCTTTTCTCACCCCGAGACCCAAGACACGCACCATGACTAGTTAGACTCTCCATCCAGCAGAGGGATGCGACTAAAAAGATGGATGCAGCAGACCGATCCGGATCCTGATTCGGAGCCAGGAATTGGCCTGAATTCCCCCACCAATCATCGCCCGCCAAGCGACCGTAAGGGCCGACCGTCGCTGGCTTGTCGCAGTCATGCCCAGCCTATGGTAAAACAATCCGAGTCCTGAAAACCCCGACATAACTTACTTCCCAGTTGTGGTAGTCGGCTGCTGCTGCTGCTGCTGCTCAATCTGATGTATACGAATTGTCTTGTCCCCTAGGTATTCGGGCCAGCGAGCTCCGCGACCCTCCTCGGGGATTAGGTTTCCTGTGCCACTCACTACTTAGTAGTACAGTAGATACCTCCCGTAGTCCTCCTCGCCACAACCATCGACTCACCTCTGACACATCGCGCGCGCCAGTCCTGTTGGCTTCATACAAATCATCAATGAAAATCAAGTATACTTCCACCGACTGATGGGCCGGAATGGACTGGGATTGTGATCAGCCGATGCTTCGCATGACTAAAAAGCTTACCCCCCTATCGTCGGCCGAAATCCCATATAAAGCTGTTGTTATCGCTTGGGATAATGCGATCTGAGCGCACGATAGTCGCTCCCCTAGTCACTACCTTAACCCTGACCTTGTTGGAATCAAATCTATTAAGCCTGGACTGTGCGCTTGCATGCATGATCCATCTTTGGTCTGTCCCATCGGCCCGATGGTTAAATGACCGTGTCCACTTGGACGCTCCTGCAGGACAGCATACCGTGCACCCTTCCTCTCTGGAATTTCCGACACTGCGTAGCTGACCGGCGACCCCTTCCACACTTAGCAACGGGTCAGGGCCTGCTCCGCTCATCGGACCTCTTCTCCGGACGTAGGAGGAACAAGGACGACAGGCCAGCCACCACCAGTAATGCGAGCGCATCATCCCGATGTCCTCGACGCTGGCACTAGCGGCGGGGCGGGACCTGTCCACCATCGGGCTGTCCGCCTGGCCCGGACGACCCCCGAGCCCTCGAGTGATCCAGTTCTCTCTCCATCGCGTGTATGGACTATGGAGACCACACTCATAGCCCACCGTCAGGCACATGGCTGGCCACCCGTCCATGCTGCTAGCCTGCGACACGAGACCGTCCAATTTAAGGTTGCTGTCTTCTTGCGGACACGGTGGACTCGAGCAGCCGTGTTGGCCACCCCTCTGGAGGCAGGTTTCCGGGGAGGCCAGCCGACGGCCAGCCCGCGGACAAGGTGTCGTCGGACCAACTCTCCACCCTCATCTCGCAAAATGGAGAATTGACCGCAGGCAGCAGAAGACGGCCTAGGGGGAAACCCGAAGCAGGTACGAGACCGACCCTCGTAAGTTGGCAACCTTCCTCATCGTCAGGCTGTCTGGTTGGAATCTACTTACTACGGGATGCTCACCGGAGCTGGCTTTCCCTATCTTACCCGATCCACGTATGACCCGGTAATCCACTGCGGTATTGATGGTTTGGTCAGAGGCATTTCAAGCGCGTAACAAGCATCGACTACACCACTCCCTAGTAAGCATAGGTAGTACACCAGCAGGGCTAGCCACTGCTGCTACGAGTAATCCCTACAGCCTCATAGCTGCCTTTGTTCCACTCCCAGGTGCAGAGATATTAATCAGGGAGAAATCCACGATTCATCTTGATGCATGTGGATCCACCCATGGTTGCGGGGTCCCTTTGTTGCTCTGATTCAAACCAGAGGATGAAGCTCTCCATCTCCTCCCCCAGTTGTGCCTGCCCGCCCGACATGCTTCCTCTGAGTTGGGCCAGATCACTCGTTGGCCAGAACTATCCGATCCTGCAGCTGCAGTGCATGATGATGCAGTAGTCGGTTCACAGCCTCGTCCTGGCGCGTCGTCGTATTAACCGGCTTTAGCCCAGGGCCCTGGTCAACGGTAATCATGACGGTAGTGCTCATCAGGCTCTTCTTCGGTACTAAACCCTATTTACTGCCACAACTGTGCGGGCGCCGCCCCGGGCAAAAGCACGGTGCAAGAGGCGTTTCCTAGTACTTTAGAAACCCCTGCAAGTGGCGAGTCATTATAAGCAGTTAACAAATAACACGGCTGATGATCGAGGCGTATGAGATATTGCCAAGCCCAAACAAGGTTGTCCAGGGAAGCCGTTAGCCATCATCGTTGGCCGGAAAGAGTGGGTGTCCTGCCGGATGGATCATGTATTGTGAAAAGGGCAACCGAGCACAGGACAGTCGCTTGGCCACTGCATGCCTGCACAGGCAGTAGATAGTGACCACAGTAAGCTGCCCCTTCTGTACGCGCCAGCATGAGTCGTTGATTGCTTCTGTACTGATTCTCAAGCACGTTTCGGCCCCACGGGAGGAACAACCGCGAGGTCCACCGCACTAGTGCTCCATAATCACGGTCTCCCACGCTACCCACGATGTCCTGGAGATAACAGTCGCAGATAAGCAGATAAGCATGTAATGGACCTTGGTCATCGCGGCCAATGGCCGTCCGTCAATCGGGGTCAGTTCGAAGCGATGGAGTACTCTCAAGATGCATGCCACGATTGCCGCTCCCGGTCGCCTGGCTCCAAAAGGACGACCAGGCTGGGGTAAGACCAACCAAAATATTTGGTCCACAAAAGGATAAAACCCGAAGCAAGCACAAGGTCAGCCAGCATGTGAAAGGGGAATATCAAGCGCAGCCAGTCATTGGTTTTGGGGGGAAATATTGGGGCCGTGGCAAAAGCAATAGAGTTCGACGGGAATAGACAGGAGCCTTGGGAGGAAGGCAAAGCGGGCGAGTGGCGCCGTGCACGGATCCGGCTGACTCACCCGCCCGGCCTTAACTCCGTTGGTCGGAAAATGCCCATCGATCGACAGTATCTCCAGCCTGTCTACCTCATGGTCCACGGACACGCCCAATAAGGCCCGTTCCAAGTGATTTCTATATTCTGTAATCATCATCAATAGTGTTGATAATTCGCATCTCCAGAATTCCTGAGCCAGCGCCATGCAAACCTAGAATAAGACGGGGTATGACTACTCCCTTTGGTCCGGATGCAGCGACCAACTTCCGGCGGGACGCTCGAACAGGAAATCGGTCCTATGAAGCACAGATGCGTGCCTGAGCTAACCAGCCCAAGTAAGTACACCGTCGCTAAGAGTGTCTGGGATAGCTGTACTTTGGAGTTTCCCTCTGGCGTGCGGCAAATCGAGCTTCCGGCCCACCATAGTCAAACCTGTTCTATGACCCCTCAACAATATCATTAGAATGTTAGTTTCAAGGGGTCGGCGTGAAAAAATCCCGTATAGCACCTGAAGGTTGATCTCTTCGCATCATGCAATATCATAATCAGGCAACGTCACCGACCGACTGGACCAGCATACCGCATCGCCGGGGACGATCTGAGACGTCATCAGTAGGCGGAACGCACCCGGAAGACATCCGCCCCATATTCCGTGTCGACTATTGGGGTAGCCTTCACCCCATCTTCCAGCCTCGGCAGATTTCCCATTTTCGTCTCCCACTCTGTCTCCAGTCTGTGGAAGGTTCAATAAGTCCTTCCTGTTTTGTTCAAATGTGGATCGAGGCGTCATGCGCCGCTGTCAGGCAGCATCAATCGGAAGACAGATAATAGTCATCAGAATTGCACCGGAGATGTCAATCATGAGCATAAAAGATTACATCCGACCAAAGTTGTTAGCGAAAACATTCGTCTTTCGGCATATTCCTACCCCCCCACGCTAGGATCGGTTCGATTTTCTCGCGGCTGGCGCGGGTCTGCCGGAAATTCAGACAATGCAATACAGCCTGAACCCCTGCAATGAGCTTTTCCCGCATCAAGTGTGCAGGAACTGTGGAAATAAGATGTGCCAGCATGCCCATGGAGGGTCGTTGTATGCTGAGAGGGAATGCCTGATGAAGTCTGACTGGTGCGGTCGAGAGAGTTTTGCGAAGATCAAATGCGACCGTGAAAGGAGGGTTGACTAGCAATGCAAGAAGGTAATGACTGCGCCGTCAAAGAGTGTCTGCATGTGCCAGTAGCATGTCCCCTAGTTGCGAGTAAGTGTGTACATTATACAAGAGATACTAGCATGAACCGATGGGTCGGGACGGGGAGGGCGTGGAGATAGTTTGAGGGTAAAATGGGGCACTAGAGTCAGCGTTAAAACCGGGCTTTATCCACAGAACACACACGGCTTCTCTTATATACCGATGGTTTGAGAGCATCGTGAGAAAATAAAAGAGCTCAAACACTAGTCTTGTCTGCCGTGTGCGACGAAAGGGGGGAATAAATGCCAGAGGAACAAGGAGGAACCGAAAGGCCAGCAGTCACTGTCGACCACTTCGACTTCCAGTGTTTATATATGATCCACAAAACTCCAGGAAAAGGCCTTCAGCGCCCAAAGGGGTGGACTGGCTTCTACTAACCGCATACAGCCCCCCACAGGAGCGCGATAAGGCATCACAGGTGAATGGCGGTCAACCAGGTTCTCACTTGTCAGTCCCTGTCGCTGGGCGAAGAGATCAGAAGTCTCAGCCCAATGGGAGCAGCACCGGATTTTGTACTGGAGGAGCGCCCTCTAAAAACAGGGGTCCTCGCCGACCATCGGCCAGGAGTCGCGATAATCATATTGATAACTATGCATATTGTCGCCATCGAGACGCCCGGACAGCCTGGAGATAAGGCCAGAAAAGCACAGACACGTCACGTCGTGGATGCTGAACCTGGTACCTTGAGCCTGCAATCATCACCAAAGGGGCAATCAGATTGCAGCATGACAGCTGTTATCAACCCAGCTAATGCTGGCTATCAGGGCCGTTGATGATATTAATAAAGTGAGGCTGTTGCTCTCCGCATTATCGGACCCCAGACCGAACGATCGGTGGCGCGCACACACCCCCCCCCCCCCCCCCCATACCCACACATCCACACACACACAACACGCACCGATCACTTCTGAAAGGCCAGTGGCTCGTACGAGGTATACTCAAGTCCCGCAGAAGGCCACAGAGCAAAGCCCATAGGAGTGTGAGCAGCGACACAGCATTCCTTCAACATGGTTCCGCTCCGGACACTCTGTACTCTGACGAAATTCGATCCCCGACCGAGCTTATCAGAGGATGGTTATCACCTCGGAGCAAATATACTTTCTCCTGGTCTGCTCCGGTTTCATCCCGCCAGGCGTATCCGACAGTCTGATAAGCAATACTGCAGAAAGCCCCTATTATTGGCAGATCCGTCTGTGAAGGTGTTTATCAGTCAACCAAGCCCGAAGATCCGTTTGGTCCGGGGTTGTCATTCGGATGAACAATGAACGGCAAGCTATTGCTTAGGTGTCCTGTCTGTTCTTCTGATCGCCGTTGCAGCTAGCAAGGGTCGGGGAATCTTCCAATCACAATGTGAGTGTTACGGTGTTATCGACATGGTGCGGGAAAAGCAAACATACGAAAAGCAATTTGCCTGTGACGTATCTTCATGGGTACATCAACAGGGTAGCAGACAGCATGTAGTTTAAAATTGTGCTGTGAGGGTGAAGATGGTGTAGTAAAGAGTAAACTGGAGTGAGAGTTGACTCTGTAGTAACTTTCTTCTACAAAAAGGGCTCCTCGTGACCACCCTGTGCCTGCCTAATCGGGATGCGTCCAGATCGCGTCACACCGATGATGTCATTTCTGGTCTGGCTGGCGTCTTGAAGGAATATGTTGTGATGGCAGTAAGCAGATATACTTCACGTAGAAGGCAATACAGTACTGGGATGTTTGGGTGTCAGTCGCACAAATCAATGCGGTGGCTACTGCGCGTGGACAAATGAGTCCATCGACAGATGCAATCTAGACCTGGGTGTATATCATAAGCATGTGACGGAAACTGGCTGTGAGGTGTACTGCGGAAATCTCGAGCCGCTTGTTCTCGTATATCAAGTGTTTCCATAAGAGATTCTTGTAGAAAGCTTCCGATGTGAAAGGACTGGCTGCAGAATAGATGCACTGATGGTATGTGAGAAGCTGATATGTGGAGTAATTACACATTAAGATGATTCTAGAGCTAAAGGTAACTAGTTGACTCTTGGATGCAGCGGACATTGCTATTGCTGGCACTAACCATTGCGTTCTGGCTCCATTCTTGTTCCTTCTGGCTACTTCTGGCTAGTAATGTGCCTTCCCTACCGGTGTGACTGATCAATAAACACTCTTATCCGAGTGCAGCTACACCAAGCAGCCCAGGACACTGGAACAGCAGCCTCTCGAACGGTACGGCACGTTGCAATTGTCATGGTAAGCCCGAGGAAGTCGATAGCATGTGCGCCATAGGCCAAAGGGATTCTGATTTACGCACGAGAGGAGTAGTTGGGGAAAACGAAAGACCGTGTGGGATCTGCAGTGGACTAAGAGGCAGTTGTGTGCCGTTTTCTATTCCATAATGATCGGGTACTAGAGGTAGAGGGTGGCTTATAGGGGAGTCTATGTAAATAAGAAAGCAACAAGCAAAAGCATAAACATGGCCACTTTCCTTCCATCCGTCTGTCAGCCCTTATCAATCGACTCGTCGACAACGGACGTGACTAGGTGCATGGCAGGGGACTGAAGCAAAGAAAACGAAATCATAAGAGTCGGGCCGGTCCAGACTAGTCTTCGATCGAGGGCTGCATGACAGCGCCAGGATCAGCATATGAGACTGGACTAGGCCGGTAACGCCACTCAAAACCAATGATCAGACACCTGTCCCGCTGGTGGCTGAATGCGTAGCTCATGAACCCCACCGTGGATATCCAAAGCTAATGTGAACAGTAGGTGAGGAAAAAACAAAAGCAAATTGATGAAATGAAAAACCGGAGAGCAACGAAAGAGAGTCTAGAAGAACTTGCTCCCTGAGCCGCGCATGTAAATAGATGATGCCTCAATCAAGAGGAAAGGGGTCTCATGGAACAAACGAAGAGTAAAATACCGCCCAAGATCCTCTGCGCCCGCTAATGACCAGCCGGTAAAAGTAAAGGTGCATGCATGGGATGGAATGATATGGGAAAGAAGTGAGATAAAGAAATGGATGCAATACGTCGCACGGGGTATTTAAATAGCGAATCCGATGATGCTTTTTGTTTTCCTTCTGAAGCGCTTGTCATCTCCGCTCTTCTCGAGCTCATTATTGCGGGGATTGGCCTGGACCGGGGTGGCCCATTGGTGGCGGGCTGCCAAACCCTGCTTGCTGGGCGGCTGCATCGTTCGTATACATCGGATACTGGACCACACTCATGGGGGACATGCTGTTCACATCCTGCCAGGTGTTGAATCCCATAGCGGCCGGCTGGCCTGGGTATGAGACGGACACCGACTGTAGATCCGCTGCAGGAGGACTCTGGGGGTTGATTGGAGTTCCGGGGAAAGACTGGGCCGGGCTGGTCATCCTTCTCTTGAGATCTGCAGGCGACGGCTGCACGAATTGACCTTGGTTCGGATACGGAATTGCCATGTCTGCGGGTTGTGCCGAAAATGTCATCGCACGTGTTGGCGGTACTTGCCAGACCGTCCCATCAGGCTGCATGGCATACGTGGGTGTCTGTGCCAGGCCTTGCGACTGCGACGGAACCGTGGGCGTTCCTGGCAGGGGCGAAGTGGTTGGCATCGGTGCCATGGGATTGGGTGTCGCACCCCAAACGTTCGTAGACATGTTCATCATCGCTTTCCCCGCGGGCATAGCCGCTAACATTTGAGGGTCTGTGATGGTCGTATACTCGTCCCACGGAACCCCGGTTTCCATGGGAGAGGGACCTACAAATTCCGCACCAACGCTGCGATCTGTTCCAGGCAATGGTCAACACACTTCACCCCAACATTCCACCTGCTCGGTAGGGCCACAAACCTGGAGTAAATGGTGCCATTGGGTTGCTCGGAAAGGTCGCAGTATTGAAGGCGCCCACATCCGGATTCGAACCCAACGGCATAGGCTGATAAGTAAAGAAAGGCTCCGCTTGCTCTACCCCAGTCACATTCGGGGGTGACGAAGAAGCGGTCGATGGGTCCGTCGAAGCGGTTTCTAAACGAGAACTGGGGCGTGACTTCTTCTCGATCGGGGGCTGCTGGTCGACAGGGAAGAACTGGCATTCCTTCCGGAGGCGTATACAATTCTCGCATCGCCCTTGAGCATCATCTGGTGCAACAAGACATCGGATCTTTCGCCGCCGGCAGTGTACTGTCGCATAAGAAATGAGTATTCCAACGGAGACTACGGAGAACCGAGAGCTTACCACATGCGACAGAGGTGCGATGATATCCAAGCTTGTTGCGCTTTTTATCCGCAGTGGAAGATTCCATGACTGTGCCTTCTGATCTTATTATCGGACTGTTATCCTCGACAACCGCGGGCATAGCCCTATATAAGATGCGATGAGAAACCGAAGACTGTATGCTTAGAGCACATTAATCGCACAGAGAAAGAGGAAGGGCAAGCTGATCGTCTCGAACCGCCCAAGTGCGCAGCGAAAATGAATATTTCGAATAAAGTTGAGGGATCGAGATGATGCAATGTGCCGCGCTAAGACAGTGAAAAGTGTCGAGTAAAAAAATATGTCACCAAGTCAGAAGCGCAAATAATTATAGCGATGACTATCGGGATATGTTGTTATGAGGTATCCTTCGTTCCAACGGTGGGCCTCCGCACTCGTTCCTTAGCGGGCAGGGTACTGTGAATAGCCACCACCTAGACTCGGATCTTGTCGATGGGTTTGGGCAGACCGAGTCGCAAGCACCGGTAAATGGAGGGACGTATACTATTATTTGGCTCGTCGCGTCGTTGCTAATCGTGGAGCGGGGCTTCAGGAGGGAGAAGCAATGTCCGAGAATATCGCAGGGTTCAATTTCTCCAAGCAGGATGATTTGTTGATAGCGGGTAATGGTGCACCGGCCTGCAAATTAAGGATCATTAATTATTTAGTAGGGAACCAGCAATCTGAATGCAGGTAATAAGAATAAACAAGGATGCGAAAGTAAGCGGGGAAACGTCGGATAGATAGGTGAATGCGAAAGAAGAAGACTGGACAGGACGTCGGACGATTGAAGGAAAGGCAAGCAGCGAGAAAAGGAAGGTGAAAGTTGGTGGAAGAGGGACGATAGTTCAAGTTGAGTGGAAAGACGGTGGTAGTAGTAGTAGTAGTGGTGGTGGTGGTAGTGTAGTGGTGGTCAAGTCGCAAAGGAGTAGTACTAGTAGTACTTGGTAGTAAGAGGAAAGGAAATACCGAGGACCTACTTCCGTCGTAGTAGTGGGTGCCCACTGCAGTAGTGGTATTGTTGCTCGGGATCTAGGATCTCGGGACTTTGTGCGCGGTGGGATTTAGATTTTAACCCGGAGCGAAATAATATTATTCTTGGGCTCCCCGTTGGGAGTAAGTAAGTATGATGTATGAATTGTCTGTACAGCCAAGCTGGGAGTTTTTTTCTTTTTCTTTTTTAGGGGACCGTGAAGGAACTGCAAAGAAAGGGGCTGTGGAAGCCAAATTAGGTGGAGGGTAGAGGTAGAGGGGAAAAAAAAGTAAAATAGTAAATAGGGAAATAAAAAATAAAAAATAAAAAAAGACAAAGTGAGATGGAGAGGGAGGGAAGAGAAAAACAAGTTCAGGATAAACGGTAAATTAAATGGGTAAAAAAAAATAAATAAATAAATGTGTGCGCAAAAGAAAGAGAGGGAGAGAAAGAAGACAGAGGGAGGAATAAAATAAAATAAAAAAGGCTACTGGGACGATTCAAGCACAATGGAGTTGAAATTCCATGGGGGTTATACCATGGGGGGGAAGCTAAGGAAGGAAAAGGAAGGCAGAAAGTAAAGTCGCAAAGTGGATAATGGAGATTTAGCAGAAAGGAGTAAAGGGACGGACAGAGACAAAAGAGCGAGAGAGAGAGAAAGAGAGAACAGGAACAGGAACAGGGACAGGCACAGGAACCAGACAAGGCCCAGTGTCAAGAGTCAGTGGTTAAACTGTATGGGGAGAGAGGTATGAGACAAAGTGCTGATGATGCCGGCGATGACGAAGAGCCAGATCAAGCAATCTAATATGCGTGGATTATTCGAAACCATTATTACCAAATCTTTCCTTAAAGGAAAGAAGAAATCGTGTGTCTCCTCTCCCCCCCCATTTCTCCCCCCAGTATTAAGGTACTGTCAGTGCTGAAGAATCAGGTCGGAGAACTAGCTCGCCTCAGGTGGGCAAGCCTTTACTAACCCAAGCTGAAACGCCAGGCTAGGTATGGAGACTACTCTTTTTTTATTATTATTATTTTTTTTTTTCTTGAAAATTTAAAATTTTTTTTACCCCATTTCCTTTCTCTGGTTTACTATTAATATGCCCGAGGATGATACCATGGCGAAGAAAAGGCTGTACCCTTTAGGTGACTATGGAGGAGTATTTAGTTAATGAATGTTAGTAGGCTTTGCGTCGGACTGCCCGACTGGCGGACTTGATCACTAGTCCAACAATTTACTTCAGCTACTGGTTGGTAACTTCGAGGTACCTGCCTAGCTGAATACTGATTTGCCCGATGTTATGTGAGATCCCTCCATACTACCTACGACTAATCGTTGGGAGTTGGTTGGGAGGCAGTCCCAGACAGCAGTCCAGACAGCCTGAAGGTCTTCAGGCGCAGGGACAAGATGAATGACTGTCCAATTGAAACATCTCATCAAACCTACCAAGGCAGGCAGAGATTGACGAGTGTCTGAAAAGGGTGATGGCGGCATTCGAGAATATTAGCAGGGATCATTGCCGTCACATGGAATGTGGCTGTGTGGGATCTTAAGGTTGTCGAGTCGAGTCGAGGCGAGCCAGAAGAGGAAAAGAGGAAAGGAAGGACGGAGACCATGGGAAAGGTTGGGCTGGACTGTATCCATCCAGTTCCTGGCATCGGAAAGTGGGATTGATGATAATACTTTTTTTCCTTTGGACTGATGGAGATTGCAAGTTGCAGCCCTTTATCCCATAAGACCAGAACAGATGGTTGGTACCTTTGAGAGGGGAAACGAAGTACCTTGGGTTGGAGGTTGTCAAAAAGCCGGCAATAGAAAATACCCCAATCATTATCAAACCATCCGGAGCATGCGTGTGCATCGTGCATGGGGACCTACCTAGTACTCCGTGGTAAGTAGGTACTCCATCCATTACTTTTGCCTCTCAGATAGGCGTGCGTCGGTCGGTCGGTGCGGGCAAAGGAAAAAGATACCCCTGATCCCTCGCACCGCCCCGGCTGGTTCCTCCCAACTTCTCCCACCCTCTTCGTCCGTGGTCCCAGAGGTCTGTGACAGAAGCCTGTAACCAGACCACGCCCAAGACAAGACTAGACTAGACGAGTATAGTCTACTTCACTTCAACTTCACGTACAAAGTAGTAGGAGGAGTGGGGGGTGGGGTTCCCATGGAGGTATGCGTTCTTCCCTCCCTCATTGGGCTTAGCAGAGGGGGGTGTGAGAGGAGGGGGAAAAGAGACACGCTGATAGCTGAGACCTGTCAATCATTTGAAGAACTGGGGAATCTGGATCCCGGCTCTCATCCACTCAGCATCTGAAGAGCGTGGTTTTAAATTTAACTCCTCGTTGGGGCCAGGGTGACGGCCGCGATCGATTGGGCGGCCGCATGGGTCTGGCCGGAGACTGCAGCCAACCAGCGGCGCCCCAGCGCGAGGGACTTTCCCCTCTGGGCGAAGACGAAGGATTTCGTCCGGTCGCAAGTTCACCCAAAGTAGACTAGTGGAGAGGTGAAACAGAGACTCGAAGTTTGCTGAGCTTCGAGAAGCCCTGGAGTCGTCATCCTCACCAAGCGGTCACGCTGTTGATTGGTGAGCCGCCGCAGGGCATGGGGCAGGGGCCTAATCATCGTCATCCTGACTTGCACATTCCAGCAATCCCACTGGTGTTTCCACAGATGAGTTAATGAGGATGGACATGGGGCTTCATTTAATTTTTTTTTTCTGGTTTCTCTTCTTGATTATTTTTTATTCCGTTTTGATAAAAAAAGATTTTTTTTTCCTTCTCTCTTTTTCTCTCATTACTTCCCCCCTCTCTCACCCTCTGATTTCGCTCGAACTGGATTCCACTGGACTAGGTGATATTCAGCAAATGCTCTGTTTCTCGCCTAACTCTGGAATGGTTCCTACTGCTACGGACACGCAGCCAGACAATTCTAGTAGAAAAGAGCAGCGGCGCGCCCGCGTCAGTCAACCAGTCGGTCATAGCGGCTATTTCTCAGCCCATCCACACCCACACCTTGCTGTGTACAGCCCAGCGCACATCCACGTCCATGCTGACTGCGTACCTGCATGTACCCTGGAAATATACTCCGCCATAAGAGGCAGAGAGAGCGAGACTGGATCTGTCAGAAATCAGGTGGGCCTCTTCCAAGCCAAGGTTTGATTTAAGGATCACATCTGCAATCCTAGTGTAGCCAGTGGGCTTGGCCTGGCCGAGTGTAGTGGTTTTGCTCAGTAAGGGATTGCGTTTGCAGTCGATCGCAGTAGTAGAAAGGAAACAGACTCCAATGGGAATTGTCAAGGTCGCATTCGGAGGTACTTCCAGAATCGTATGATGACAAGAGATCACTGCCACTGCCACTACTGTTGCTGCTGCTGCTGCTGCTGTTGCTGCTGATTGATGATGGCATGAGTGCTTTTACTAGTCTAGGCGAAAAGTCCACTTGTCCAGTTCGACATGGATGGGGACACTCACTCTACCTGGATCAGGCATATGTGTTTAGTTTAAAGTAATGGACTTGGAAGATTTTCCTTCTCTTAGGGAACATGAGGGATGCGCGACTTTTGTTTATCTATTGTTTTAATTAATTTATATATATGTATGTAGATTTATTTAATATATATATATATACAATCAAAGTATGGAATGGTGACATGCATGTAAACTACGCACTTAGCCAGCATTATAGCACCCATGCCAAACCCAAGCAGATTGCTTGGCCTTTCAGGGTCCTCTCGGGCCTTCAATTTATTATTAGTAGCGCTTTCGTTAGCCGTGGATGGATAAACTCGGCTCCGAACTTAGTTCCTTTCCTTTCCCAGGATAAAATCATAGACACAACTCGGACGGTTTCCTCCACTTACCGTGTGCACTTTCTGGGCCATTACGTACCTGCGTAACTCCAAAAGGAACTTGGTGTATCCGCTGGACCCTTCAATTGATTAACTGACGGACAATGGCACGCTGTCCTTTTCTGGTTCGTTAATTTCAGAGATGGGAGACTGATGGGCGAGCGTTACTGACGCCTGTTCTCCCCTTTCCTTTTTTTTACCACTGATACTAGCTTCTTGCTGAAGAAGGTATAATGGCAGATATTAACATGTTATGCAATCTACAATGATCCTTGGTACATTAACTGGATTGAGCAAGATAGTCAGTGGTTAGGGAGGTTCGGATAGTAAGGTACCTGGGACTCAAACGCGTGGATATTGCTACTTTGGTCAGCCTCTGCGTCGCTAGCGGGATCGGGCAGCCGATATACGTAAGCGAAGAGACGAAGATCGTTGGCGACTTCCACTTTTCTCCCTGAACACCGCAGTCGCACCTCGCCCTAGCGCTGTTTAGTGGCATTTATTGTCTCGTATCGGACTTGAAACAAGTTCGCCTCATTCATCAACGCTCTGCCCTATCATACAAATCATTATCTGATCATCGCGGTCCGCCGGACGGAGCACTGCCTTTCAATAGGTGGGAAACGGGCGGTTGCCCAGTTCCGACTTCTTACTTTGCTACTTAACCGGTAAGAACAATGGCCTTGGCTATGGTCTACTACTACACTAGAATAGACTAGACTACCTCCTGATTAACGGCCACATACGCACGCCTTTCTCTTCCCACCCACACCCCCCCATCCACAACCAACCCCCCGGCTTCTGCAGGGACTAAAATCAACACTAACCCAGTGTTTCGCTGCACCACTGGTGGTCCTCTCCACGAGAAGCCATGCGTCAAAATTCTCCGAGGGGTGAAACTTAATCCCTAACTAATGAATGAACGACCATTGGTCTAACCCAGTCAATGCTGCTGCTGCTGATGACGATGATGATAAGTGCGCGGCAATAACAAGAGAGAAACTAACATGGCAATAATGATTCTTCCCTGCTTTCAGCCTGTCAGTCTGGCATGTGTTGCTCGCTCCCCTCCGACAAGATTACCTCCTGTTGGTGGGAGTTGTACAAAGTAGGTAGGAATCTACGGTCCGACTGGACTCTAACCCACAGCAGGGCCACGCCATCTGTCCTCTTGGGCTGAATCGGAGCCAATCACAATGGCGCCTGCCTTTTCACCACCCATGGCTGATGGGGTGAATCGGCGGAGTTCTCACTCGATGCAGTAATTATGTCCTAATCTATTAACAGACCAACAAGTAACTACTAACTAGATAGTCTACTCTACTACTACAACTCGACATACGATGATACGACGCGCGCCATCACGATCCCAGCTTGCTGTTTCCATTGATCTTCCGTATGATCTATCCATCCGAAACAGACCCTGAGCGGATTTCCGAGCCCCGAGCTTCTTCAGTTTTCTGTTTGTTCGATCTCAAGGGTCTCTGCCGGGCCGGAGATCCTTGACGTTCGTGGGTCGTTTGTTCCCCCCCCCGTTTTATTTTACTTTTTCTTTTTTTTCTTTGCTTTTCCCTTGTTTGGTTCTTTATTTCCTCGGAAGAACGAGATCTATCGATTATGACATATAAGATAACAAAGAATGGATTGTCAAAAAGTTCAAAAGCATCCCTGTCTGGCAGGGGTACCCAAAAGGGTGCCTAGATAGGTTTGCCTATCTATGAAACAATTTCGGCGCCCTACGGTTGGCGGACCATGCGACGCACCCTTATCGACTGTCCGTAACGGTTATTGAAAAAGCAAAAAATTCAACCTAAGAGAGCAAAAGAAACGACAAATAGGGGCGTCGGTCATAATTGCTTTTTAGCACAGACTTTTTTTTTTTTTTTTTTTTTTTTTTCTTACGGTAGTACTACGAAGGGAGAAGCGATACACCGTCTCCTGTTCCATCATCAAATGCATTAATCGAAGTTATACCTGCCCACTCTTTTTCCATCGGTAAAGCTCAGCGCCGCGACACGTAAGGACCCCAGTTTACACGCTCAGCAATCCAGTCGCAGGGCCGACCCTCCAGTCGAGCATATCCCTTTCGAGACAAGTGCCCGCGAGGATGAAACAAGCCGGTCTTGTTCTAACCCTGGGAGTGCCGGGCTAAAGGTTAGCCTGGTTGCTTGCTTACTTTCCACTCATGGTAAGGCGTGTGTCGGGCACGGAGTACACCCTTCTGGTATAGATGTTTTGAGGAGAGGGAGAGGGAGAGGGGAGGGGGGAAGGGGGGAAGTTTGGGTTTAGTGTGTTCTTGACGCATCGCGCCGATTGGAAAAGCCGCAAAATCTTGTTTGCAACTAGAAAAGAAGAAAAAAAATGGTGTCTGGTGCTTGGCATCTGGCGTGCTCGTATATCATGGCTCCCTCACGTACCCCGGTGAATTTCTGGATGAAGAATGCTGCGGTCGCGATTGGCTTTCCGGTCGGTGTCATACCGGCATTGCAAACACGAGATCCTAGCCAGAAATCGGGGTTCCATGGTGGGTTTGGCAGCATTGATAGACCAGCAGCAGATACATGTTTGTATCACCTTTATAGCGCCATTTGCAACCCCCCCCCCCCCTCTCCCTCCCTACATCCCTTCTCTCTCCGCTGCCAAACAGACCACTCGAGATGGGTAACCGTACCACCTTTGACTCTCTCATGTGACCCACTGAATCCGTATACGGCTTTTGAGATGGGGTTATTGCCAGCACATGGCCACCGGGGCGATGCAAACGGTGTAGATGAATAGTGTAGCCTGCTGGTTGGGGGTGATGTGTGGATGAAAGACAAGAGTAGCGAATTGATTGCTGTCTTTCCTGCTGTTGCCTGAGACATAGCCAACATAGCCATTCCACTTGCAGTATCTGTTGTCCTTTTAGTGCCGATGTACAGGGAGTATGTACTTTCGGGACTTCTGTCATATGTACTTTTATGTCTTTAGTAGTCTCTCTCATCCATGTACTCATACTCATACTTCTCGGTCATGCTCCATGAAGTTGAACACTGCCGGCTCCAGGTAGGTAGTATCTCCCCCTCCATAGATACAGTAGTAGTATTAGTAGTAGTAATAGTAGATATCGGCTAGCACCAATCGGGGTAGTCGGCGTTGACCGCAACTTTCCTTCAGAGAGACGATCATCACTCGTGTCTGAAGAACCACGATCCCATTCCTTTGAGATTTCAATCTATCTATCTATCTACTTTGGACTAGAGGATGTGACTGCTCCTTTGCTTTATCTTGGCATTGCACTCATCACTACTGTGATTCAGCACCTAGGGATTTACTAAACCGCAGAGAATTTTCTAGCCGTCATTCTCAGAAACGCACAGATCCGGCTGCTCCTCTTCCAGAATTGCCTATGAATGAGATAAAAGCACCGAACTAACCTCTTTTTCAATAAAGACGGGAAACTAATCTCAAAGCTATAGCAAAGACCCTACAGCTGCGTGATTGAGCCATGACCACACGGGGGTATCAGCTCGTCGTGGACCCTTGACCTGTCTCAACGGGCATTCAGAACTTCCGGTTAGTTTCTATTTGAGTTGCATGCCTTTCTCAATTGTTTTTCTTACTGAATATTCTTCTTCTGGCGCGTTTAGCTTCCTCCGCGGCATGACGACTGGCTGTTGCTCGGATCGGGTATACTGGACCATGAGTGGAGATGGCGCAGAAGGACACTGAGGCTTTTCTGTCTTCAGTGACGCTATGGTTCTATTCCTGTCTGAGGAACAGCTCTAGAAGCGGTCTACTGGACTGTTCAAGCTTGGTTGTTGATGTCAGTCTCCTCTTTTGTCGCCCGGTACTTCATGCTTATGCCCAACAGTTAGCTACTTACTGAGGATTGCCGCTTAGTCTAAAGCAGGGGCTGTGGATGCGGACTGCCTCGTGCAGTGACTCGAAACAATGAGGTTGATAAGCGCAATGGCTCTGCCATGATCTGGGGGAACGCTTGGCTTACGTTGATAACCACGGTAAAAGCATGATTACACTGATAACGGTCTCCAGATAACAATTGTCTACGCTGAAAGAAATGACTAACGGATAGATGTCTTAGACCATCGAAAATGGAATGCTACAGAAAGGTGTCCGGCTCCACGATTTGCCATATAAGTTGCCACGAGACGCAGCAGGCGCAAGTCTGGAAAAGTGCGAGATGGAATATCAGTCTCGAGGGTATAATGCGGCATGAGTGAAGGAATACATCACAACTGGCAGTCCGTCTGTTGCTGAGTTTATTGCAGTCGTCCGACGGATGTTGAAGATACAACCGCCAAGGAAAGGCAACGCTAGTGGCAGGGAGTATGGATGGGTTGAACACTGCAGCTTGAGTCGCTTGCTGGTCTACCTACGCTAATATTTGGTCCCTTGAGAGCTGATGGCTATACAGTCAGATGACTTTCTCTTCTCATGTCCAGTACGAGCGCGATATCCCTAGACACTTAGACAGCATGCTCGAGTCGAACTACTCTCTCGCTGCACTGCCTGATATTTTCTGCTTCAACTGGGATATACCATAGAGCATAGTACAGCGGGGAAGGTCTTTGAAAGATCATCATCTCCGATTGCGATGAGGAAGAATGCGGTCAAAAACATCCGTTTCAATTCCAAGCACAGAGTAGGTCCTTTCA